TCTGTTTTTCTAAAGCATCTAAAGGCTGCTTGAAATATAGTATTATATAGTATTGACTTGAAAGCAGCAGGGATAAGGAGTTGGGCTCCGATGCGCCGATCGGTCCCGTGATCGGCGCATCTGGGTGATGTAAGCTTAATAGTTTGATGTTTCCATTCACATAACGTTAGCCTACAACAGCGGCGCAACGCCGACACACAGACACGGTCCTCGTCTCATACACACCTGTCTCTCCGTTGCTGTTGTATCATTCACTGACCAGTAAACTTCAGCGGGTCTTCCAGCTCTGCTGTTCCATTAACGCTCGCCACAGTGTGACTGGCTCGCACGCCGATCAACTTGCTGTGCTAACCTCAGCGTCACTGCCCTCATCCTCGTCCGCCAACTTGTTCGTATCTCTGGCTTTCTGAATTTCAGACACTTGCCTATTCTCTTCGTCGTCGAGCTAACGTTAGTAGCACCTCAGAGACGTTTTCTTTTCTTTCCTAACAACTGACTGATTCGCGCAAAGCTGGATGCCAGAGCTCGTGCACCGTGAACACTTTACAGTTCGGAGCGTAAAGCTGAACACTGACGTAAACAGTAACGTTACCTGTACTGCTGTATAACATCAGTCACACCCTACAGTCCATGGTCACACCAAACGGAGTAAATTATGAAGTCTCACACACACAAAGTATTCATTTATGACGTTACGGCATCCTACGAAATCCTACGAAAGGACAAGAAAGAATGTAAGACCTTGGTAAACGAATTTCAATACTTTTGTAATGAAATTTAAGACTTTTATGGCCTTATTTTTGGAATATGAAATTTAAGACTTTTTAAATACTTTTAAGACCCTGTATCCTGTAAATGTATTTTCTAAGTATTTCTTCATCACCTTCATGTTAAAAGTAATTTCTGCCCCGCTGCTGTCATGGTAACGTTACACCGTGTGTCATCTAATGTTCGGAAGTTTCATATTTTCTGTTTATAAAACGGCTAGGTCAAATCAAGCTATCTGATTGGTTCGTAATAGTGATGTAATGAGTGTATAGAGGGTATGCGCATGATGTCACAGAACGCAGTTACGCTCACTGAGTGGCAGAAAGATGTGCAGCAGTGTTAGCTTGAATAAGCTCAAACACAAACAACACATCTAAAATGGTAAAGAGCTGGACCACTGGTTCTTTGGTAAGCAGTAACGATCACTGTTAAGTCAGACTGCCTTTAATTTGAGCAAATAATCACTTGTTTTACTCCCGGTTTGCTAAACGCAGCCATGGTAACATATGTTTTGCCACTCAGTCCAGCGTGTTCCGGAAGGGGAAGTGACATCAACGCATACCCTCTATACAACGGGTATGACGTCGAATTCCTTCGCACAGATCGTATCACTCCGCGACGAACGTGGTCCGAGTTATAATCTATAATCCGAGCTTCAAGCCCCATTTACTCTTGGTATTAAATGCGTTCTGATACAGATCTGATAGGCTACAGATCACATTTTACCGTAAATTTAAATAATGACAGAGTGAGTGAGAGAGAGAGACAGAGATCTGCTTATTACGTGATTCAACATTTCCCTCGCTCACACACACGAAAACGCACAAACACACACACAGACAGCAGTCCACTACTTGCCCCAGATGTCTGCGATATTGAAACAAAGTTTAAGTTTCAATAGCCTGTTCAAAAGACTATTGCTCAAGGAGAGACGCAATTCCGCCCTTTCTGGCAGGTATAATATTAAAGTGTTATTATTTTACGCATTGCTGTCGATTTATGCTACCTATCGAGATGTGCTACTTAGCGGTTCTGCGCATGCGTAAGACCCACAAGCGCAGTTTGTTTCCACGGTCATAAATCTGTGCAACCTTGCTGTTGGGAATGCCGTCGAGAAAGTGGCTGATCAGTCAATATCTGTCAGTAATATATAAAAAAATAAAAATAAATCATTATTAGTCTACTTTTTGTATTCGAAATATCTGTTGATGAAATAAAGTCAAATTGTAGTGCGTCTGTTAGCCTACTTTATTTTTGCCATACTTGTCAACCGTTTTATAAAAGCAATAGCTCACTTCAGGCCGTGATAGACCCTCATTATATCACAGTTAAGGGGGCGTTGACTGTCATGAGCGAGAAAACAGCTGAAACTAACAGTAGGCTACAGACAAAAATAACGGTACAGTCTGTAAATCCTTTAAGTTGTTTTCTTCGCCCCACATTGATGCAAAAATACATTTGATTATCATCCTGCAATATGCAGTATTGAAATAAATCCATGTAAGAAACATTTAAAGTTTAAGTAAAGTAGCCTAATTAATGTCATTATGTTATTGTTATTATCACAACACATCAGTGAGGTGGAAATTTGATTCATTTTAAGATATGATACTATTGTCATTATTCTAATGAGCTTCATCAGGATGACTGAATAAAATATTTATTTATTGATTAGACATGTTTTTGATATTTATTTTGGATAAATTGGTATGTTAATCAAATAATAGGCAACTTTTGTTTTCTTTAGAATACAAAAAATTAGTCGTTAGATTAATCGACTAATTGAAAAAAATAATTGTTTGATTAATCGACATGAAAAATAATCGTTATGTACAGCCCTATTATAAGCGAAGTACTATCCCACTTCACTGGCTGGTGTATTTCCAAGTTTTGCTACAGCTGGTTCAGCATGATTCCTTACAACATCTCTGCAGTTGTTGGGCTGTGGTATTGTGCGTAAATTTCAATACCTCTTGCAACTACAGAGAGCGACAACATGCGTAAAATTACATATTAGAGGAGTAGAGTATACAATAGAGGAGACATCCAGTGTGGACACAGCAGCAAAGTAAGGAACTGACCTTTCGTCTCCGTCTCCCTTTCCTTCTGTCTCTATCCTGGTTGTCACTTGGGCACACTCTGCCACCACCCCAAGGTCATTATACTGTGATCGCACCAGCATGGAGCCCCACGTGTGATGCCATTGTTGTCAGTACCCATCTGGTGGTTGTAACGCTCCCATGAAATCAGTAATGAAGCAGGTAGGGAGTCCAGCTACCTTTCTACCTATTGCTTACCTTTAGGCCAGCACCTAATAGGCTTTGTATGGAAGCATTAATGCAGATTTTACATTTTGAGAATTGGCTCATGCGACTAAAGCCATGGCACTATTTCCCGTGATGCACACAGTGATTTTCGTGAGATGGACCATTGCTGTCATCTCTTTCTACCTCTTTTGGTTTTAATCTCTTCACTCTCCTTAATCGATACTTTAGTATCACTCAGGCTTTCCTGCGCTGGACCATTGGCCATCCTGGGATCTCTCGCTCTCCCCTGGCATGGTGTTTGGATCTAATTCTTCGTCCACTAAGAGATTCAGCCTCTCTCCTTGGTCCCTCTGTCCCTTTTGTGCATGTTGTCCTTGTCTCTCTCTCCCTCTGTTTCTGTTTCCTTTATCCTGTCTGTGTGAATGGTGAGCATGAGCTTTGCCTTTTGTGTTTCTTGGGGAGATTTCCTTATCTAAACCGAGGGTCTAAGGATAGAGGGGATTGTGATGCCCCTTGAGGCAAATTTTTGATTTCTGATATTGACCTATATAAATACAAATGACAAAAATTCAGATTCAGCTGTAGGGCAAACATGTCTTTAGGTAAGACATCTTCTCAAAAAGTTACATTTTCTGGAGAAGAAGAGACAATGAAAGTCTGCATTAGTCTGGACATGCACCTGTGCAAACAAACAATTTGTGTCTCTCGCACACCTTGATTTCAATTACATTTGCATCTCTCTCCAATATCCTATGATATTAATTTTCTCTCTACATAACGTCTCTACGTTTGATAATATGCTACTGTATAGAGATTTGTGTCATTTATGGCTAATATGAAATGGTTGAAGGGGGAGGACCTTAATATTACTGTCAGAGCTCTAATGTCAAATGAATCACACCCTTTCATGTGCCAAACTGTATACATGAAACTAAAAGCAATTATCCCATCCCTATGAATATGGGAACATATATGGCAAACTGAGATATTCACTTACCTGCTCAGCCTGTGAAACAAAAGCATCTTAAAACAGAAGAATTGTTTGACAAAGCTATCATATAATTAATCAGTCACACTGCTTTACCTCTGTGTCATTCTCTGTCCCACCTTGGTATCTTCCCGTTCATTACAAGAGCTGCTTTTGGGGTGGTGTACACGTTGCAGTTTTTGAAAAGGCGGCCATTTCACTCCCTAGTTTTAACTTTATAAGTTGCTGTACCGCAGAACAATGGGTAGGGAGGGAATTAAATCAAATGCTTTTACCCTGACATACCATGAATAACTCCAGCTAGGACTCATGAAAGTGGGGTGCATTAACACACAAAACATGGCTATTGCTCTGGTGGTGAACAGCAGGATGAGGAGGATATCAAAGCAGAGAAGGAGACAGAGGAAAGGGTTTACGGTATTCAATAGCCTGGCCTTATCAACAAATAAGGCCACCGTCGCCCAGCACCCAACTTCCTAACACCAATCCCCTACCCTCCGGCCCCATGTCCATTTCCAAACAATTTAAATGTCAGAGGTATAAAGCAAACAAACCACCTCGTAATAACCCTCACCAACCCTCCCCTCTGCTTTCAACTTTCTCAATCCTGTATTATAACCAGCCAGCAATTTGAATTGCTCAGTAGTTTCCTGACACTGATGATGTGGAGTAGATAGTCGGACAGCACAAACACAGAAGGCCCACAGAGGTGGAAGAACTGCACATCGACAATGATATGGGAGATTGGAGTGTGAAACACGTATGATTACATTCACAAACAGCGTGTACAGAGCACACATAACGTAGATGACATATTAATGTTAGGTTTAATAGAAAAGATTTAAATTTTTAAGAGAAAAAGCCCACTTGATATCCCCCCTATTAAGTCAGCTGGGTGGAGTTAGGATAGGTTATGTCTGGTTTAGTGTCAGTTAGTCTTTTTTTCTCTTTTTCATTGTGTTGGTTAAACATCTTACCTCGAATCGGGGTACCCTCTGGAGGAGACACAAAAACGAAGACACAACATCAGTTTAGTTCAATGTTAATGTTAGTAATAGTTAGAGGAGTTATTTGAATTGGAAGGTGGATCACTGGAACTAGATTATCAAACCATTAGGTAATCTCCTACATGGCTTTCAGAGATGGGGATTTTTTCATAGAAAAAAAACAATACCTCTCATTGCTGGTATCACAAAGGAATAGGGAGCTCTATATGACTGGCGCACTCCATTGCCTTATTGTTTTTTTTTTCACTCCTAGCATTAGACATATTAAGAGAGGGAACACAATGCATCATTTTCAGAGCTAAAGAAGCTCTTGGTCTTGCATGTTTGTCATGCATTTGTCATGGTTACAACATGGTTACAACTCAAGGTAATAAGGCAGAGCAAGAGACATTAATTGACATGCATCGCTCTAGTGGCAAAAGCCTATTCGCAGCCAACTGATCTTGAATGAGAGGTCAGTAAAACAAGTTGGGGGTCCACCTTTTTGAATAGAGACCCCGCAATACTCATTACGTCATTAAGCTGGTTTAATGCTGCCCCTGATTTTAGATAGCATGCTGGTTTTCCAGAAGTAAAAGAAGCGTGGCGTGTAACACAACAGCAACGTTTAGCGTGTCCCTCATTTTACACAAACGTCGATTCGGCTTAGTTACTACCTCTGCTGCTGGCTTAACAACAATGCCCCCTCCCCCACAGTTCGTAAGTTTTATACAGAATGGCGAGGCAGAATAATGTCGCAACATTTCCGCTTTTAACTGGCTGTATAAAAGGGGCTTATATTTGAATGGAACATTCTTGCTGAGGGAGGAATGGAGTCCCCACTAAACAAGAATTTCAGGCTGTACCTTCAGGCAACAGCAAGTTAAATCAAACAGATGGAAGTTCTTATTTATCCTACAAGTTGTAAACTTGCTTAACTGTGACAGACTCTTCACCTCAAGCTTCATCCCTCCACCCTGGTCATTCAATCTCCTGGCTCTTTCCATTGTTTCATTTCACTGAGAGATGTATGTTTCTCTCTTCTTTGTTTATTGTGAGTCTGTATTGTGTTACATGCCTGACTGTAAGCCAAATGTCCCATTAGGGACAATAAAATATTGAGCTTATCCAGTCAGTGGCTGGTGGGCTTTTTGAGTTGTTGCTGTGATGTAAAATGCATTCTATAGGCAGCGCTTTGGGTGTGGGTAGGGGAGCCAGCTTAAATTCAGCCCCCTCTGCCAAGCATTAAACAGTCCTTCCGCTCTTGGCTTTTTTTCTTGGTTCAATGTTTTCCATCTATTTTTCTAAACTATTTTACTTTTCTTACTTAATCTGTTCCTCCATTCCTCTCTGTCTCTCTGTCTCTCTCTCTCTCTCTCTCCCTATTTCTGAGTTTTTGTGTTTCAGTTTTTGCCACATTTCCTCCCGCTTGCCTTTCTCTTAGTCTCCCTCTCTGAATCTAAGGATGACTCACGGCAACAACATGCCTTTGGCAATCCCTTGAGAATGTACACAGGGCGGTGCCAACCCAGGGGAGGTTCCCTACTTAGCATAGATGGCCTCCAGGCACAGAGCTGAGGGTCTGAGCTTAACTCTACAGGTCTGGCCCCTGTATGTGTGCATCCATCCATGCAAGTTGCATACAGTAACATATGCCAGCCCTCCTACCATCTTGCTGAACCAACAAAATAACAATATCTTCCATCCACCCATCAATCCATTTTCTACTGCTTATCTGAGGCCAGGTCGCACTGGCAGCAGGCTAGGCAAGCTAGTCCTAAGCAACATTTTCCAGCTCCTTCTGGGGGGTCCCAAGGTGTTCCCAAAACAGATGAAAAATATAATCTATCCAGGGTGTTGTAGGTCTACCCCGGAGTCTCCTACCAGTTAGACGTGTCCAGAAAGCTTTAAAAGTAAGGTGCCCAGGAGGTGAAATATTTGATTTGCGAAAGCTTTGCCTTCAGGCTCAGCTCCCTCTTCACCACAGTGGTCTATACATGCCCAATTTGCTACTTAGTCTGGCGATCTCCTTAACAATACTTCCAAATCAAGAGAACCTGTTGTTTAAGTTGTAAAGCGATACCAGAAATTCCATTTCCTATACAGTACATTAAGAGGTGTGGTGGCTGGTTAGTGGGGATGACATTTCAATACCTTCTTGTCAGATTGTTGTTGCAGCGCTGTGTACAGAGGAGTCCTTTGTGATACCAGCAGGTAGGAGGCAATCACTGAGTTTAAAGTTCTGCCTGGTTTGCAATGTACCTAGGTGGATTAATTTCCTTTCTTTATTGTTGCTGTAAACGGTTCTGCACTCTACTGTGTGTGTATACATCTTAAAATATATTAATACTCACAGTTATATGTTATTTTACTGTATACTCAAACTCTGAAAGTGTGCTGTTGCTGCCATTAACTATAATCTAAATTAAAAGTATTTAATTTTATAATTTAAGTTATTGTTAGATTGCCATTTTTCTATTATTGACTATTTGCACTTGCATGGTTTTCATAATCTGTAAACTCATACTTTCTTCAGTATCCATACACAGTGCACTATATACATAGATTTGCCAGAGTGATGGTTTAGAGTCATTGATAAACCAGGCAAAACAACAGGGGAAATTTAATCATTTTTGCAATGATTTTAGAAACCACATAATCATAGGTAATCACAAGACAAAGGACAATAGGGGTCTGGGAAGGTTATGTTGTTATAGAGTTAGAGTTTGATAAAAGGCTGCAGAAGCTGTTGGTTTATTTTGCTTTAGCTGTGATGAAATTTTAGTTGGGGGTTAAGGGGTTACTAGTTAAAGGTTAGGTGAGGTTAAGGTCAAAGTTAGGTTAAGGTTAGGATAAGGTTATGGTTAATAAAGCAGGTTTGTAAAGGGAAAGGCCATTACGTGTGGACCTTATAAAGGACTGAGAGACAAAAGAGGGACAGAAAAAGAGAGGAAAGTGAGGAGGATGAGGGATAATAGCTGGAGGTTGTTCAGTTCAAATGCAGTGGTTCCACAAAAAATACAAAAAATGAAAAGGAAATGAGTGACTTAGGGCATTGGAACTATTGAATCATAAAGCAGCATGAAGAGATAAAAAAAATTTAGCTAAAAATCTGACAGTCTGGAGTGGCCAGCCTGTATTAAATTACAATGGCAAATCCACCTGTGTTACAGGCACGCAACCTAATGGCCATAAGCTCCCCTTCTAAGCTTTGGTCAGCCAGGGGTTGATCAGCTTAAGGTGACACTGACCTAAATATACCTCAACAGGTCGCTGACCCCCTCGCATTATGAAATGTGGCATTATTTGCTCCACAGAACACCCCATCTGTTTTGTTAAACAACCCTCTGAATATATTAAAAATATTACTGAAGGATGTAGTCTGGCCAGAGGCAATCTGGCCAGAGATGTTGCCCATCTGTGTGTGAGCCGGATGGGGTTGCGTGATTGGCTGAGTGTCAAAGTCTGACCACCCTCCTGAGGGCGCCTGGCTGACCTTCTCATCACCACAGACACCCGTCTGAAATCCTGGTGGTGTCGCAGCAGGTCTCAGGGAAAACCTGGCTGTTGTTACCACATCTGCAGAGGTCCTAGGCACTCCCTGCAGAGCAGCTTTGATGCCAACAAATGTGAGTGTTTTCTTGCACATTTCAGATTCAGCGCAATTGAACTCAGCATGATTCATATATTACATTGGAATGTGCATATATCTTTATGTGTAAGGAAGCCTTTCAATGTCAGGTCACGATTTTAAACCTTTATATTAAAAGGGACCTTAATATTAATGAATATGCACTCCTCCCAATCCTCTCACTGTCTCTCTGGCCTCTAGTTAATCTGTTCTGGCTGACAAGGCAGCGAGGGCCTGAGGTCTGCAGCCACAGGGACTTGGAGAGAAATGTCAGGCTCCCTCCACACCTCTAGAGTAGCTCCTTGGGGGACCCTGACGCAAATATCAATGCCCCGCCAGCACAGCATGATCTGGCACATAAGGAACCAGTCAGCTAGCTCGTAAGCTCTCTAGCAAAAGCTGTAAGCTCTATGTTCTGGTATATATAATCAAAATTGTAATTACGATGTTGCCTTTTGGTTTAGGTGGGAATAATTCAGATCAGTTTTTGCATTGTATTGTATTTAAGGTCACATGAGAGCGGTTGGATTCATTGGCAGGAGCTAGAGGCTGAGTTTTGAAATCGTGTTTGCTAACACACTTCACAAGATCTCCTTTCTCCTACCTCGTTTCCACACAGAAGTCTCTATAGCCCCTTTTCCACTGCACGGTACCAGCTCGTCTTGACTCGCCTCGCCTTTTTTTGGTTTTCCAAGTTGTACCTGAAACTACTTCCAGGTACTTTTTTTCCTATCACCTCTGTTTAGGTTCCAAGCGAGCTGAGGCGATACAAAAATGTGACGTGAAAAAACGGTACACTGCTCATTGGTCAGAGAGAATCATCAACATTTACTGCGTCATCATTGCGCGCGCCTGATATTTCTATATTTTACAATTTTCATACATTATTTCATCACTAATTCACTTCTGAGAAGTTTTGAGGAGAAATCAACTGTGTAGATTTCAAATATTGACAGTTTTACGAGAAGTGATGGCGGAACAAAAATGTGCTTGAAAGTCTTCGGAGTTGAGGAGCTCCTCAAGTGGCGGCGGGGGAAGCTTGCGCCAACCCGCGGGAGGAGCTCGCGAGCCCGGCCAGCTGCCCGCTCACAGAGCCCTCTGGTCCCACCGTCACAGAGACCGCTGCAGCAACAACGGCAGAGGAAAACACAGCTGGTTTTCATACCGCTTATCTGTCTTTACATTCTGAGTAATGTTGAAACGTTTTAATTTAAATCAAGAGACAGCTGTGTGTGGGTCGCTGGTGTGTGTTGCATTGAATTAAACACAAAATTGAAATACTGCGCTATTGGTCAAGCGTCGCAACAACCGCAATGTTCATACTGTACACTTCAGGGCGTGTTAAATTAATAAGTACTTCAAAAGTTCCACAACCGTAACAAGCTCTGTAACGGTTCAAGGATGGATCGCCATGGGCTGTACGTGACTCGCTACAAACTCTGAAACTGTAAGTGTTGCCATGTTTTGTGTTGTTTTACTGTTTATTTTAAAGGTTAGCTAACTTGGCGTTAGTATATTGCGCGGCTAATGTGGCTAGCACACTCGGCGATGTTGGACTAATATTGTGATCCTGAGGGACAGTCCAGAGAAACTGTGGACAGTAAGCCTTATTTGAATCTCACTAACTAAGGAGTATAGTGTGTCGGAGCCTGCAGCTGTTTTTCATGTTGCTTTCTGTGGAAATTTAGTTATAACGTTACTACAGCGCAATGATTAGTTGTGGACAGCCCATTCTGCTCTACACGTGCGTTGCTGTGGCATGTAAATTCACTTGATAGACATGCCCTGAAGGTAATGATATAGCTACATCTGAAAAAGACACGGTCAAACTACAAAAAGGAGTTTGCTTGGCAATGTTGTTGACTAGCACCCAGCAGCTAGCTTGCTCAGACCATAAAGCTGCTGTTAGCGGCTCGTTGTGCAGTGAGGTGACAGATACAGACAGTCTTACTTTGCTATACGGCACCAAATTACTTAATTGATGAAAAATGCGATAATACCCATAACGCGCTGTTGAGCCCCAATATACTGTGAGCCCTAGTCGCGGCAGTTGTGTGTGGCGTTGCTATGACAACCAGCGAGTCGAGTCGAGGTGAGTTGAGCTGGTACTGGTAATGGAAAAACAGCATATTTCATCAAAATCTATGAGAGAAGACCCATCAGTCTCAGAGTTACCCTCTGAATCTTGAGAGTGGGCCTGAAGCAAAAGGGCAAACAGGTAGCCCCCAGAAATGATCAACTTCTGTATATCAAAGGCTTTACCTGTTCTGTTTGTTGATTTTTGTTAGTGCATATATCACTGGGGAAAAAAACTGAACAAACACTAGATAGTAAAACGAGGAGACCCAAGATGGCTACTCAAAGTGCTGATGACATGAAAAGTTGGCAGCCTAGTGAGCTTGGGCAGACAGGCCGTTTTCTCATCAGCATAAATCCTGCCTGGTTACTGAAGGAGCTTTCCAGCAAAAGAGCTACAGAAAAAAGACAAGCCCCAAAGCCGACATTACCTTACAAAAGCATTGGTAGTGAAACAAGGGAAAGTAATTTCCTTTTCTGCCCTCCTGCATTTACATATAGTTTAAACTGTAAGTAAAATATGCCCAGCTTAAAGTGGCTGGGTATATTTTTTGCAAGTAATTCAAAAAGTCAGGAGGAGTACAGACTGTTGCCAACTGTAACTATCACTTGAGCCCTCGCCCTCTAGCATGTGCAATAGAGCCTTAGCTAGAGATTTGTAAGCCAGTGGGGATGTGAGCCAATTTGGCGAGAGAAGAAAATGCTCTCCTGAGGGTCGACCCAGCCCAAGTTTGGGATTGGAGGGCTCAGCCATACAGCGGTCCTGCAGTGGCCTCCTCCTGGAAAGAACTCAACATTATTTCAGCCTCTATCAGCACTTGCTGCACTTTCCAAAGGTATTTTTGTTATTGTGAAGGCTGAGGTTCAACTGTGTACATCTAAGCACAAAATCAGAGTCATATGTATTACTAGAGCAAAGTGTGTTCTATATATCACTCCAAGAAGATACAAATATTGAAGGCTGTGGCTACACAGGAATAATTGTCTTGGATTCAAACAGAGTCAAATTATTTTCTCAAAGCCTGCTGTCTTGCAACACAGCAGAGAGAAAGGAATAGAAGAGACAGGGGGCATCAGCAGTGTAAAACCTGTATAACATGGTCCTGGGAAAAGTACATAATGCAAGAGTTACTTCCAAGGTAACTTTGTACAAGATAATTAAGAACCCAAGCAGACCAGTAAAGACAAAAGGTGGTTGAACTGGGCAGTTTCTAAGTCTTACTATGCATATTAGCATTCATGTAAAGCAGGATGTTGCTTCAAAAGACTTGCTTGGCAAGTCTTCCACATATAAAAATAAACTGTGCTGCTCAAAGGTGGGCTATGATACCTAACCACTCCATCCCCAACTCCTGTGCTTGCTGGGAGGGAGGCGTAAGGAGGAGTGTGGACGAAACAAAAGTAAAAGTTAAGGATAAACTGAAACAGAACATAGGGAACAAGTGGCAAAAGAGGATGAGGGTGAGAGGAAAGCAGAGGATGCATGCATTTTGGAAAGTTGTTTAAAAATGCCATCTGCTTGAAGGAGAGTGGGAGGGCTTGCAGGGCTTTGCAAGACACTTACCAAAGCTTTCTGAAAATGACAAAACAAGAGGAAAGTAAATAGAAAAAAGGGGAAGAACAACACAGTTGATTTTAGGCTGAGGTTGAAAGTGACTACCACGCAAGAATTAAAGTAACTACAGTTTAGGCGGGTCATATGGGTCTTGTGACCTTAGTATATTAGTTTTAATTACCATTACCAGAAAAAGTGGAAGGAGCAATACATTTTCAAGTTACATAATGTAACTTCTTGTTCAACATAAATTCAATTTACTATTTATAATTCTAATTAGACAAATAAAAAATCAAATGAACCCATTTGTGTGTCAACTGTAAAATAATTCAAATAATATCAAATCAAGTCTTATTTTTCAGTTGAATGTTTTTGGTTGTAATAGTTTTTTCACCAGTTTTAATTTGTGTTATGGGTCACATCCAAATGTAATGTGTTGAAGACTTCGAGATGTGCACTAAGACACATCCGAGTTTCAGACACAAATACAGACAAAACAAAAAGAGAAAGACAACAAAACAGCAGTCTGTTTCAGTTAGACAAGACACACAGAGACAATTTAAAAATCATGACACAGATAAAGACAGATGATACAAAGGTTAGACAACAGGCATGAGGCTGAATGTCTTTGTCCATCATCTACAGATGCTTAAAACTCAAAGCCATGTTGACAAGGACACCAGGTAACCCAATTTCTAGATAGAGCTGACCCTCCTTAAGATTATATACAACATAAGAAACAGCTGGTGGAGTAGACAGTCTGAATTTACATGAGAAACAAAGAACAAAATCTCTAACATTTCTGTAATTCTCTATACATCTTGAATTTCTTTAATAGCCGTCATCATTTTTTTCTTTCCAACATGGTAAAACTTAAATGCAAAACAAGCAATTTTAAATAATGTCTGTTAAAGTTCCATGATTCTACAATATTACCCAAGTACTGCAATACCACAATGATTAGATAAAACTGCAGTCAAGCTCTGAAATCACAATTAGAATTGTTATAACATATTTACGCCACTCAAGTCATTTGCTTTGCAAGATAAAATGATCAAAATTGACTGAAATTATACAGTACCTGTCAAAGCTAAAAGTTTGTTCTTGCCTAGTAACAACTCATAAACCATGAATCTAAAATATCATCCATTATTCTTGGTGTGCTATTACACTAATACATATTAGTATTATTAGTAGGGTAAAATTGTGATATCATGACAACTTTATTACAAGGTTCAGTGAATCTGAACAGTTAAAGGTACCCGGTGGAGTTTTTGACCACTATGGAGCAATGTTTTTGCAAGTGGGTCCACTTGTGTTTTATGAGGAGGCACTAACATGTTTGTTAGAACTCTTGGAAACAAATTGTACATTTTTGTGAGAAACACTGAAAGTAAACAACTTTTGTTTGTTTTCAAAAAACACCACAGTACACCTTTAAGGATAAAGGCCTAAAATGTTTAGGAGAAGGCTGACAGTGCAAGAACATGAGTATGAAGGTGAAAACATTAATGTTAGAGCTCTTTCCCTAAAAGTCCCCTGTGGAGGCTCGTTGTCTAAAGTAATAAGCACTGGCTGACAGCCTTCTCCAAAGCATCTCAGGACAACCTCACATCCCCAGAGGAGGTCCCCGGGTCACTATGAACCAAGAAACAGTTTTCAGTAAATTGTAGCAAATCACCCTGGAGAAAGAAAATAGTCACGCATATTTTGGTTTTGTTTTGAAATCTTAAAAGTCAAATGTCTACCTCAAAACCAAAGTGCACCAGCAAGTTAAACATGAAACATATCTAAAATTAAAGCATCTTAGGGAGCTGTGGACTGTATTTGGCAAGGCATATACAATAATGACATGACAAATTGATTCCTTGGAGTGTACAGCTCACAAAGGCCACAACCGGTGCAGGAACTCAATGGCAATAGACTCTTTATTTAGTGTTGTCTACGCTGATTTACGTTTGCAGCAACACATCAAATAGGAGTCAATGGATTTTTTGAATGGTGACAAATCATCGACCTAAAATATCTACCCCTTATTGCCCATGGCCACTCTAGGGCCTAGACTTAATTAGCTATATAATTAGACTTTGCTTTACTGGGCCTCTCAGTAGGGTTTAATCAATGGGAACAACATAACATATCCACCACTGAGTTGTGTCAGTAGAATGTGGACCTTGCTCATATTGTCTACTATGACACACTTCTGGGATGTTGTAAATCATTTGCCCTGATTCAGTAATAAACTTAAACTTAATTTGTCACATCTTTTGGATGATTTTCTAATGTCATAATAACATGGCTATAACGTTCAACCTTTGGATTATGGTATTCTTTTCATGTTGTAATCTAGGAAATTTAGCTTGCCCTCGTGATTTAAAATGCTTTAAACATAGTAAACACCCAAGTTTAGTTGGGTGAACACCCATTTGTTTTACTTTTTGAAGCAAAATATATTGTTACATCTGTACTTTACCACTGTCATTAACCTAAAAAAACGAAGCATAGTTTTCAGCACCTAAAAGGTTTATATGTCAACAAATTTTCCACATGAAAGTGATATGAAGTTTCAGTGAGTGTTGCAGCAACTGATACCAAACAATTATATGTGCTCCCAAGCTGGACATATGAATCTGTTGAAAAGCTAACAAAGCGTTCCCAATCACACTTCTCACATTATCTAACACATTTTTGGGTGAAAAAAGACTGGGCAACGCAAAGCACAAAAACAACCATGTTAACTATTTCCAAAATGTCCTGGGAAATGAAACAAGTGCTGAAGTTAATAAGAGGGAAAAAAACAAACAACATAATGCTAGGGCTTTTCTTACCTGAGCGTAGTTGTTTGATTCGCCCATTACTTGCACTGGGGTCAATGGGCAGGAAGTCTTTGTACCAGGTGATTTCTGGGTCAGGGTTGCCACTGGCAGCACAAAGCATGGTGGCTGTTCGAGTACGCTCCACCACTTTGAGTTGAGGGCCCATGTCAATGTTAGGGAAGCCTGGTGGGAGTAGGTCCTCTGTGAAAAGAATAGAATAACAGGGTATGTAAGTCCTCTGACTTACAAAACCAGCCTTTATGACTGAAATAATTTCCATAATTGCTAGAGCTGAGAACACAAATGTAACACAATAGAAATTTAACTAAAATAAGACAAAGGATCTGTCACATGTAGGACTTAGCTAATACTGACCTGTAAGCATTAAATATGTAATATGTAAATGACAAAATGAATGTCAGAAGGTAAATGATTGTACTAACATACTGTAGTATTATGTGTACTTAAGTGTGCTTGTAATTTTAACATTAGGATAGTGATCATGTTACTATAAAACGTGAAATCATATAATCTCATTCCCAAATCTGCATTTCATGAAAAATCCAGCTCGCCCAGAGGGCTGTGTTAAGGCATTGAAGACATTTAAGAACAAAGATCAAGAAAAGCAAGCTTCGAGCTTTTGACCTTTGATTTTCACTTTCTCAGAAAATGAGCCAGCATTCTTTATTTAACACATTGAGATTAAAATGTCTTTTACAAGTGAGACCTAGCCAAGGCAGGGTCAAATAGCAGAAACAAATACATAACATGAGCAGCAACATCAGATCACAACAGAAGCAATAGTTACAGGAAAAAAAAAAAAATTACATAATACAGTGCATTAACAAGGCAGCAATATTTAGTCATGTGATGTTCAGTTAATTGAAGCAACTGCAGCTAGCAGTGAGCACATCCATAATTCTAAGTTTAAAATAATTTAAAGAGATAAGGGTCTCAAGTTTGAGCTTGGCCAAGTCCAGGAACAAGACCTGAAGGCTTGTTTCGCCAGCCTCTGTACTGGTGTAGGACACTTACTTACACAATTATCTAACTAATGGTTACAGAAACAATCCTGTTTAGGATAGTGACTCTCTGCATGTATTCTCTGTATATAATGCAGTAAATGATTGGCTTGAAATGCATATTGGAGGGGGATACAATTGAGTGAAAAGTAAAAACAGAAAAAATGCCTGATAATCCCGGCACTTTCTTTCTTTACTTTCCCCATGTTTGGTGAAATAAATGACACTCAAGTCAAGGCACTCAGTACTACACAATTATTTCCCTATTATGAGAAGAGAGTGTAGTGTGCTCTATGGTCAATGTTCTACAAATGCAGACTTCATGCTCTCTTGGGGCAATTAGTCCCATGGGTCAGATCACTTGACCTCTACCCCGAATGGAGCCAGAGCAGTGACTCATTCTTAGATGATGAGAGCTGAGGGGGAAGTACCCTGAGCTGTAATATGCATCAGAAGTCCACATCGCAACTCAGAGAAGACTGACTGACTAATATGCTAGCCAGTGGCACAGCATTGGTCACTGTTCATCTGGAGAACCAAAGACCTCATGTCCACTCTGCAGACATCATGGTGGTGTTGTTGGCACCCGGGGAGTGCTAAATTTAGGGTAATTAGGTCAGTAAGTTGAGTTTTACGGTCACAGACTCAGCGGCGGTATTACATTTTCTACTTTGTGACTGTGAGCAATGAAATCATGATGGATTAAAGTCATACTTATTTCAAAATCTTCTACTTTTGACCAATGTCATCCCAATTATTTCACATTAAAAGGATGGCAAACAGACAGCAAGAATGTCATTATATTATTGATTAATGCAGCTTACACAATGAATTTGCCCTAAAACTTTTTTAGTATTTTATTCTTTAGTCACCAAGATAAATTAGGAAAAGAAAACTGCAGTGTTTGTGTACATTATTTACTAGGATTGTATGGAGAAGAGGGGCAGTATGTATTTACATTATGAAATATTGAATCATGGAAAAACAAAAGACACATGGGAGAACAGAAGGAAGAACCTGAGAGCATCAAAACTAAGTCCAGACAGGTTACCTCTAACTAAGGCTGACATCAGCTGAGCATGATGAATATTTCAATACTAGGTTCAAAGAAGAACAGGCGTTTACACTGTTTTAGGCTCTGTGCTATATCCTCCCCATCGATTATTAATGATCACCCCTGTATAATCTCTTTATGCCAGGTTCCCCTGAAGCTTAGAAAAGCAATGGCAAGCCTACACTTCACTTTAGAAACTTCAGAACATGACAGAGCAATATGTTCTCAGAAACTCCCTCTTCTGTGTGTCATCAATGATCCATGTATAAGATGCCATAAAAGGTGCTGCACTGTCGTACCCCTCTAGCTAGTTCTGTCTGTTGGAGAAGGATATCTGTGAAGGGTAGGTCTGGTCTGACTCACATCTGATGTATTTTATGTTGCTGTATTTTATGTCTATCTATACTGCACATCACGTTAGTAACTCTGAGTCGTATGAAACAATAGACAAAAGCCTACACAGACTACAGTAATGAAGCTGAAAACATACATAGAGTAAGTGGATTTGAGACTAATGAAATTAGTCAAGCGACAGAAGGAATCTGCCTGAAGGAGCAAGGGAGGGCAGATAAAGGTGGGCGAACAAACAAACCGACCATAACAGCAGTAAACAAGAAGCAGGGATGGTGGGTTCATAGAGAGATTATGCTATTGCTAACATACCTGCAGCCTTTCCTGAAAAAAAGGGCATATATGCTGGTTACTTACTTCCCCAGGAATAGAGTCTGATACCATCTTTTCCCATGAAGCTTACAGGCTCTGTCGATAAAGGCGGCCATGCAAAAATAGATCACTCATTGAGGGCGTGTTCCTTCAGGGTTAGCAACTCTGACTGTGAAGGGGAGAAGGCAACCAATGACATGGATTGATAGTATCCTAGAATTCCCACGGGGCAAGTCCCCCATAATGGCATAGCACTTACAATTCAATGATGTGTACAGGGGGTCCTGTGTGATGAGAAATACAGGCCAAATAGAATTGAGTCATGTACACAATTGGTCAATGACAACGTCTCGGTTTCTCTTTTGCCCAGAGCAGCCTTTCTCACTTAGGCCAGCAATCATCACGCTACAGTGCTATAAGATACATGTTGCAGTTACACCCTGCACCATGTCAATGATTTTCAAAATACCATACCACTTTTTACCACATTACACATTCATTCACCTTTAAGTTTCTTCATCAAAGTGTAAATTCTAAAGCTAAAATATCACCAAATAAAACCAAATAATCTATCTCCTTGAGTCTTATCTGATGATCCTCTTCCTGGTTTGAAAGATGTCAAAACATGCTTCACCCATTAGGTTAGAAAAGTAAAAAAAATCTCTGACCACTTCACAGCTACATTTACTTCAACAGAAAAGGTGAGGGCACTTAAGGAGAATCTTAATCTTAACAACATGCAACATGATTGATCCCATTAATTGCAAAATTGGTCAGTGTTTCTATACTTGTTGGCATATGCTGATGATTGTCATCTGGACAGCTCAGCTTGGTCCTCTCTGCTGCTGTGATGTATAGCACTTAAGCAGCAATAACTAAGGCCTTGCATAGACACCACTGAAACCATTCTGTAGTTAATCAGATGGAAAAAACATTTATCTGCAAAAATAGGTTTTCAGCAACGAATAATTCATATTTTCTCAAGATGACCACACTTTGGAAACTATTCAGCAGGATTTGGACATGTTTCAAAGATTGCATCTCAGTGCATCTGTTAATTAGAGTAGGTTTTCAAGACATGCAGCAGGAAGAAAAGTAACCAATGGTTACTGTGATGGCAAAGTACATGTCTACTCCATGCAACAGCTGGCATGATCGGCAAATACAAGCTCTAGTTGACCTTATCTAGATTTTGATGTTCATCATTCTCTGTGGGGTTTTGGGCTGGCTTGAGTGCCATCATTATCCATAATTGTCTTTAATTTTGCTTTGCCATTTAATATTATTACACAAGTGACAGGTGCAAAGCCTTTAATCAGCCTCTGGTTAGCTTAGCCACTGCCCGGCTGTTAATCTACTGACTCATGCCTGCTGTTGCATTCTGCTTTCTATCATGCTAAGTGTAGCCCTCTTAAAAGGTCCGTCCTTTAGATTCATTTAACTCTCCTGACTAATCCCATTTCCAGTGATTCACTCCTACCAAATAATCTCTTTTTCTGGTATGTATGTATGTATGTATGTACAGATTCCTAAAGAACTATACAGCGCTATACAAAAGCATTTTGTGATTAAATATGCCATTTGGTGGGCACTTTCATATTTTCCAGAGCAGCAAGAACATACAACCAGTGAAAAAACACAATGCACAATGATACACAACATCCGATTTCTGTAGGCATTGGGCAGAATCATTCATATCAGATCACCATAATCTAATATGGGAAGAAAAGTGGCCGTCACCAGGTATTTTCTAGCTTGAATGGATAAGCATGATTTTGATCTGTAGAGAAAGCCAAGCTTCATCTTGAGCTTAGAAACCAGGTTGCCAATATGAGTTCTGAAGCAGTTTACACTTTCATTTCCTTCAAAAGTTGAGATGCTTGAAGTAGTTAACTGGAAGTTGTCTAGAGTTTGTGAATAGAATTACTTTGGACTTTTCTGCATTTAAGACCAACTTAAGCTGTTTTAAACGGTTCTGAACAATATTGAAAGCAGACTGCAAAAGATCAAGGGCTTGTGCAGTAGATGATGCAGTACACTAAATAACAGTGTCATCAGCATAAAAATGATACATAGCATTTGATAGATATAGATAATATCTAGGGCTGGCCCGAATGTCAATTTTTGAGCTTCGACACTTCCATAGTAATTAAGAGCGAAAAACTGAAGCTTCGCTGCTCAGCGGTCCCGTTATGGTGATTGTTTAAACATGTTTTTTTCACGAGCTACAGCTATGTATTTAATGGATAGAAGCAGAACAGCAGAAGAAGGATAAATGCCCACTAAGTTCTGCTGAGTGAGGGAGGATCGGATGGGGGAGAGATAGCAGCGGCATGGGTGCGCAAGTCTGTCTGTGTGTGCGTGTGTGAGAGAGAAAGAAAAAAAGAGAGCGCTCCGGTTATTTGTTCTCATAGCTAGGCTAACTGAGTGATTATAACAAAATCTTTGTTTTGTGCCGAACC